AGTAGGAGTCGACGACGTCCCGCATGTCCCGGAGCTGGGCGGCCATGCCCCTGCCCCTCCGGACACGGTGCCACAACGTGCTCTTCTTGTAGGAGGCGACGAGGCCGGCCGCGTCGACGAGCGCCTTTAGAACGGGGCCTCCCATCTCCGAGCACAGCAGCACGGCGCCGCAGCCCGTCGGCCACTTGAGCAGCGCGTGGAGCATGCGGCTGCACCGCTCGAGCTTGGCGCACTCCCGCCTGCTGCCCTGCTCTGCGGGATGCTCAGGAGGCTCATGCCCACGGCGACCAGCATGACGGCGTGCAGGCCGGACATCTGCGCCACGTTGGCGGCCTTCGCCAGGATGTCCCAGAGTGCCGCCACCGCCACTCCCATCGTCAGGTCGTGTCCTGTAGATCGAGCACCTATAGCTTTGGTCGCGCGTGTCCGCTCTGCCTTGGGAAAGAAATGACGCGCCAGCACAAGATTTATACATGCGGCAGAATGGCGAGCGTGGCCACCATGAATCCATGATGTCACACTCCAGAAAAGCAATGGTGCAAGTGTAGCCGGCCAGGCCGGTATGTGAGCTTTCTTCCATGTCATATGCCAACAACACGGTTACACGTACAAAGATGGAAGTGTGATGTGTGAAAGCGCAAAGGTCTGGATCATGTGGGACATGCATCTACGTCTGGTTCTGGATAGGTCTGTCACACCATCAATCGTGGTCGTATCCTTAGGACTCATTCGGTTTGGAAAATTTACAGAAAAAACATAGGAACAAGGATTCCAAAGGAATTTTTTTTATAGTTGCATTTGGTTTGTAGGAAACGCATACAAGAATTTCATAGGAATACTATTCATTTTCTCTGTTTTTGGAGGATTCTACACATGCACTCAAAGCTCTTTTTTTTGCGTAGAAACGAGACAAGATAAATCCTTAGGATAGCAAGTGTCATCCTATCAAATTCTTGTACTACTATTAAATCCTACGTTTTTGTTTCCTTCAAACCGAATAATCCCTTAATCAAAAGCTAGGCACTATGCGCCATTAACTAATATGTATATGCCGCCTGCATATTACGGCAGCCACTAGGCTTAATGTAAGTGATTATATATGAGGTTAGGGCACTTAATAAATCATTGCCAAAGGTGATTAAGCATTACTCTTTAGTAATCTAAACGTTCTTATATTTCTTTACAGAAGAGTATCAAATATGAGGTGCAGGCGTGCGGCCATGAAATCATGAACGGGTCTGTGAAGCGGAGTTGATGGCAAGAACTATGTTGGACTGTTGGACACTTGAGAAAAACATTGGTGCAATCAGCAACTATGGTCATGATAAAAGAAACACTCCCTCTCAGCACATATAAGGGGGCCCAGGGTAGTGTCATCTTCCTCTGGTGTTGGATAGCTCCTGGAGCATGGAGGCGTCCATCCCTTTTGGTCGATCGTCAACCAACTTTCCATTGTTCTTTATGGAAGCATCGGCCCAGGTGATACCCCTAAGCAATCGATCGTGGGTAATATCTTAATTGGTTCGCTATTGATCATCAAAACTCACTAGGAAGACCTAGATGCACTTTCATAACTGAAGTAACTTTTTTTGTGAACAAACTAAAGTAACTTTAACAGTAAAATAAACACAATTATAGTGGAAATGATTTATAAATTAAACTTATCATAACATACTTCATACTTGTGCATATTTCAAACTTATGTGTCAATGAAAACTAAGGATATCACTTATAGTGTATATAACCTCTTTATTAGAAGGAAACAAATGATAATTAGTGAACCTCATTACTGCAAGGAGTAAAAAAAACTGAATTTATGAGGGAACAACTAAAATAGCTAAAATTATTATCTTTTGAGCTCAAAGTACTATATTAGTATATTTATATTTATATACAAATTACAAAGTTACTTTAGTCAAGAGTGGAGTATTTTGAAGCCGTGGTGTCTCTAGGAATGTATTTGGTGCATTGGTGTTTGTGGTGCTACCGGTGCACTGGACGACCTATCGCATTTTAAAATGTTTCAAAATATCTGGGGAAAAAAATAGTCTAGCACTTTGACACAACATCAACGTGCTTTGTCACAAAATTTCATATCAAAATTCGAAATACTGCATGAGATACAAAAATGAAAATCGTGACATCAATGTCAAAATGGGCCAAATCTAAAGTCCAACTTATGTTTGATACTATTCAGTATCAAATTTGTTATTGAATTTTCTCATTTTTGTACCTCAAGCAATGTTTTGGATTTTGATTTCAAATTTTATAAGAACATAGACCGATGTTGTGTGAATGTGCTATTTTTTTATTAAAAAAATCAAACATTTAAAATACGCTACGGGCGTGGTGTCTAGCTAGTTTTTTTTTTCGAGTGAATTTTGTCTAGCTAGCTAGGGAGCGGAAGAGGCGATGGCAGTGTGCTCGCTCTCACTCGACCTACTAGACATCATCGCAGCACGCGTGCCTCCTCCTGTTGGGCTGGACCAGAAGCGGCCATTTCTACCCATGTCCACGTACCAGGCCTTCGTACCACGTATAAAATATCACAATAGGCCAGGCCCAAGCTGTGCTCTTTTAGGTTGAAATCGGTCTGTCGAGGGGATTGTTTGCATAGGGTGCTCCCACCCGACGCAACTGCATGACGAATTCCGCTGACGTACTCAACATGACGAGGCATCACGTCACAGCCGGCTCTGTCGGATGCAAATGGTTTTTTTCCCTAGATATATAAAAAAATCTGCATTCAACTACGGCACCCCTCACAATGTTTTGGAGGCTCGGCAGCTTCTCCCGACGACTCGCGCCGAGCCAAGTCTTTTTCACAATATAATCACGCAACTCTAGGTTTTTTTTTTGACGGGAAACTACGGCGGGCTTACGCCAGCCTGAACTTATATTAGCCAGGGAGAGATGACAACATTCAGGTAGTTACATAGGGTGAAGAAAAGAAAGATTACAAGGGGTTAGCCCCCAACAAATGGCAGATGATAAGCTAAATTCTTGCAGATAAGTGATACAACATGGAACCCCAGTCCTTTAGAAGGGTCTGCTTGACCGCATTTTTGCAGCGATTAGACCAGAACACAAGATCCTCTCCAGATCGTCGCAGAGTGACATACAGATCCTCATCGTGAGCACGGAAGACCATAGCATTTCCCCGCTTCCAAATAGACCAAAGAATGGCAATGATAACTGTAGAGCGAACTTTATCAATTGAAGGGTTAGACCAAATATCTTGAATATGTTCGACTTCTGGAGGACGAAGAAGAAGAAGATTGTCCCAAAGCAACTTGATGGAGTGGCAGTTCAACAGTAAGTGACTTGTGGTTTCTGGCTCATCGCAAAATGGGCAAGTATCGGAGCTTGACATCCCATGCCGGAAACGCCGATCATTTGTAAATAGTCTGTCCCGGAAGGCTAGCCAAGTGAACAACCGACACCTATTTGGAGCATAGTTCTTCCAAGTAGCCGTGGCGTACCTGTCCTCCGGCCTAGCTGCAAACACAGAAGCATATGCTGATCTTGCCGAGATCGGCTTGTTGTCGATACGTCCAACACGACGGTCAGCCACTAAAGGGTTCAGAGTTACAGTGACAATCATAACACGCAGCACGGCAAGTTCCTGTTCCGTAATCGAGGAAATCCTGGGGCGAAGGTCCAAACACAAAACCGGATCACCTAGAACCCTAGCCACCGAAGCATTCGGCCTAGTAGAGTGAGAGAAAATAGCAGGGAATCGAGCAACAAGCGTATTGTCGGTCAACCATACGTCAAGCCAAAAAGCAGTGGCAGCGCCGTTTCCAACATAAACTTTGGAGATATCACGGTATAAATTCAAACCTTTAGAGAGTACTCTAGGTTTTTTCACCAGTCGCTGCCATGACATTCGCCATTCTGCATCACAATGATTAAGAATGAGAAACACACTTGCTGAGGATTCAGAGAACACACAGATCTATCAGGGCATCGCAGCACAACTGGATGATGTTGGAGTGGAGATGAAAATGCCGAATCCACTATGGTCAATCCTCAATTCGGCGACTCGTGTCAAAAAATAATGTCGCTCATGAGTTCTACGATCGATTTCGCTCAGTTGAAAGCTTCACCAGCTAAATGTAACGAAAACACAGGAATCAAACATCGAGAACATGTTAATCCACTATTTTGTTTGTACCTAACAGCTACTACTCTCCCATTACAATTCATTCATAAGTACTATGTTTACCATGATGAGCTATCGAAATAATCTTTGTTAATGAAAGTGCAACTTAGAATGCGACGCCGTGAAGCACAGAGACAGCAGTCCAGCTCATTTTATCTATGAAAAGAACGATGAAAGATACGACATGCGTCCGTTCATCCTTATGCATCACCTATGTCTTTTAGCAACTAGATACATCCATTTCTACGACAAGTAATTCCGAATGGAGGGAGTAGAATTTTTTAGAGTAAAAAAGCTTGCCATTTTGCCACAAATACTCGCCGGCTGCCGCGACTCCATAATTGGTCCAAACCACCCAAGTCGAGCAAGGCACCGGCTTACCCTCGTGCTAAGACCTGCGGAAGAAGTAGTAAAAGACACAAAATCTCGCCCCAGCCGAAAAAATTCTCTCCAACGAGAAACTACACAAAGACATACAAAAATGTGTGCTCCTCATGATGTTTTCAAATGTTTCATCTTAAAAGCGAGAAATGCTTAGTTTATTTGACCGGAGATGACTTGGTTGCTCCCATGACTCCGTCCGTTTTCCCATGTGGGACTAGCTGTAACAAATAGAGTAGTACGTGGTACAATACTGACATTGTCAGACTTTGAATATGCAGGACGCCTTCCCCCGGCGACGACCCGCCAAGTCAACTCGTTCTACATTCACGCAGCTCCCTCTTATCTCTCGTCGTCTCATTTGATCTCTGGATCACAATAGCCAAGAAAGAGGAATCACACACACCTGCTGAGACTTGAGAGAGTGGAGTGGCCGGCGTCCCTGCAGCCGGCAATGGAGCCGGGCCACGTCCAGGAAGCATCTCGGCAGCCGGCAACAGAGCCCGGCCACTCCCAGCAAGCTTCTCCGCAGCCGGCAATGGGTCCCGGCCACGTCCAGCCTGGGCCCCCGCCGCCGGCAATGGATCCCGGCCACGTCCAGCCTCGGCCCCCGCCGCCGGCAATGGATCTGGACGACATCCAGCCTGGGCCCCCGCAGCGATGGGAGTACAGCCTGCGCAAGTACCTCCTGCTGCTGGCCACCCTGGTGGTCACCGTCACGTACGCGGCCGGCTTCAACCCGCCGGGAGGCATCTGGCAGGAGGCGCACGACGGCCAGCCAGCCGGCGACCCCATCATCCGCTACACCTACTACCACCGCTACCTCGCCTTCTTCTACTGCAACGCCACCGCCTTCGCCGCCTCGCTCGTGGTCATCGTCCTCATCCTCATCCTCGCCATCCGGCACGACAAGGACGAGAAGGATACCCTCTGGGTCGTCGTGCCCCTGCGGGTCTTCATGATGCTGGACCTCCTCAGCCTCATGGGCGCGTACGGCGCCGGCACCTGCCAGAACAAGGTCTCCACCATCTACTACGCCGTGCTGGTGGCCGGCGTCTTGCTCTACGTCGCCGTTCTCAAGTTGGCGGACAGGTGCTGGAAGATGCCGGCCACCAATCTCGACTCCGGTACCGGCGGGATTGTCGCCTCCGTCTCCGACTCTGACCTCGAGGTGGAGGCCAAAGAAAAACAGGCCCGGGAGAAGAAAGCCGAAGAAAGGCTCTGCAAGGTCCTGATGCTTCTCGCGATTTTCGCCGTGAGCATCACGTACGTCGCCGGGCTGAACACGCCGGGCGGCTTCTGGGACAGCACCGGGGGCAGCCACCACCTGGGCGACGCGATTCTCAAGGACCACCACATCATACGCCTGACGGTGTTCTTATTCTGCAACACCATGGCGTTCGTGGCGTCCCTCTTCATCACCATGCTGCTCATCATCGACGGCAAGAATCTCCACAAGAAGAAGGCCCGGTCTCGCATGCTCTACGGGTGCATCGTCGTCGCGCTGGTCGGCCTCGTCAGCGCATACGCCGCAGGCAGCTGCAGGGAGACCGACACCACCGTCTACGTGGTCTCCCTGGTTGGCGCCGTTGTGGCATACATCCTCCTCCATCGCTTCTGCAGTTCAGCATCAAAATTATTTTCTAGTTGTTTCAGTCCAGCCCAACAACATGATGAAAATGAGGATAATGCCAGGTACAGAGCACTGTTTCTTTCTTTCTATGAAACTGAACTCTGTTTCTCCTTTCTCTTCAACTCTGCTTCCTCAGTCTCTGAAACTGAACTCTGTTTCTTCATTCTCTGCAACTGAACTCTGTTTCTTCTTTCTCTAAAATGCAGTGCTAGGGAGGCTCTGGACAAGGCTCGTTCTCTTGTTCTACTGCTGGCCACTCTTGCCGCCGCCATCACCTACGCAGCCGGGTTGGACCCGCCGGGTGGTCTTTGGCAGGATAACAGCAACGGGCACATGGCCGGCGACCCGATTCTCCTCACAATAAACATTGCAAGGTACAGGGTCTTCTACTACTGCAACTCGGTTGCGTTTGTGGCCTCCTTGGTGGCCATCGTCCTTGTCCAGAAGGAGAAGCTGGTCAAGCACCACGCGCTGGAGGCAGCCATGATACTCGTCCTGTTTGGCCTCATCGGTGCGTATGCCGCTGGGAGCTGTCGGGACGTGAATAAATCCATTTACGCCATGGCTTTAGCAGGCGCTGTCCTGATCTATGTGGTGATCCATATTGTCTTCTTCACGCTGGACGACAAGGACAAGAAAGACAATGCTAAAGAAGATCTGTTGCTGGAGAAGAGGCGCAAACGGTTGCTCCTCTTCGCAATCTTGGCAGCGACCATCACATACCAAGCCGGCCTCACCCCTCCCGGCGGCTTCCTGCTCCAGGACGACAAGCTCGGGCGGCACCATGCCGGCGACCCTGTCCTCTTGGACAACTACCCACGCCGCTACAATGCCTTCTTCTACTGCAACTCCATAAGCTTCATGTTGTCCATCGCCCTCATCATCCTCCTGGTGAACCCCAATCTGTACAGGCCAGCCATACGAAGCAATGCGCTATCTGTTTGTACAGCGGTGGGCTTGCTTTGTTTGATGGGAGCCTACGCCGCCGGAAGCACGCAACACCTCAAGACATCCATCTACATCATTGTGTTGGCAGTCGTGGTCCTCCTCGTTGCAGCCGGACTGCTGCTAGTATTTTTGCTGAAGAGACATGGCAATTCCAAAAAAAGTCCGCCCTCCGCAGCCATTAAACAGAAGGGTGAAAAGGGAGAAAGGAAGAAGCATGCAAGGCGCAAGTACCTAATGCTGCTAGGCATCTTGGTGGCGAGCGTAGCCTACCAGGCCGGCCTGAAACCGCCGGGCGGAACATGGCAGAGCGGCGACAGCGGGTACGAGGCAGGCAATCCGGTGATGCACGACAACAGGAGGCCCCGGTACCTCATCTTCTTCTACAGCAACTCCATCTCCTTTGTGGCTTCCATCGTTGTCATCATCATGTTGCTGCCGCAATGGCTGCGAAAGGAGCAGCAAGGAGAATGGGAGAAATGGTCGCTGAGGGTGATGAACTGGACAATCAGACTGGATTTATTTGCTCTCCTAGGGGCCTATGCAGCCGGGTCCAACAGGGGGTGGAAGACGTCCATGTATGTCGTCGCGCTCATCATTGTCGTGCTGGGATACTTTGTAATCCACATGAAGATTTCAACATGTCTTGAACGTCGCCGTAAGAAGCGCGATGCCGAAGCCGCCATGGGAATCATATGATTCATTATCAGTGTGCTTTGTGGTGTAGCTCCACTAACATGAGGGCAGTCCACAAAGTAAACCAAAATTCGGGGCGATTGATGATCTGCCTATTTCTCCCCGTCTCTAGATCTGTAATCAGCTTAGTTCTGTCCAACCAATGTCTCTGCTCTAACTAGATCTCTCTGTTTTTAGATTCCTAGTCTAGTTGATGTAATCAGATGAACCTGCATCCAATTGGAGCATGCTGACATTGTTTCTCGGCTCGCTGAGCCAGCGTGTTTGTATCGGTGTGTGATGAGTATGCGTGGTAGGTGACGCTTTCCTGAACCTGTGTGCACTGTGTCTCATAAGAACTAGAACGGGAAAGTGCATGAATGACAGAAACTGAAGCATTTGGCGTTACTACTGAAGCATAGTGTGTCTTTAGGTACAGTCTGAACTATTGTGCAATTCCTAATAATTAGCAATCATTGATCGAGAGAAAACACACCTTGAATCCAGCACCGGAGCATCGGACGCCAGCGGCGCAATGCCCCCGGTGGGGCAATTCACCGAACACCTGCAGGGCGGCCGATCCCCGCAACTGAGCTGGGCAAGCCGCGCGCTAGCATCCGAGGCTGGCGCCATTTTGGTTGGAGAGCATTCCTTGACCGTGGGTCGCCTCGCTCGGAAGCAGCTGCTCGAGGCGCGAATCTAGCTGGTTTAGCCGAACCCAGCCGCGCTAGGTCGCTCCTTGCGATCTTCCGCGCGAGGGACACCGGGAAAAACGGAAGGGCAGGCGCCGTGTTGCGCTGGCCAGGCGCGGAAGGTCTACGCCGACGATTGCCGGAGAAAAGGAGCGGCGCCTTGGCTCCTGCTTCTGGCTCCCCCGTCGACAAGCTGGACGGGTAGTTCATCTTTAACAAGCTGGACGGGAGTAATTAATCTCAACGGGAGCAACAAACCTTTTATTTTATTATAACGGAATAATGTTCACACATAGGAGTAGTAGACTATTTTTGTGAATTGGATGTACACTTATTTCAATCTATATGTAGTCAATATTGAAATATCTACAACATTGTATATTCATTATTGGAGGAAGTATATTTACGTAATTGTTGGCATGGATGTGCATGGCGCCGTCACGCAGCTATTAATCGATGTTAATCAGAGACACACATAAATGTTGAATGAATTTCTTACTTTCTTAGTCACACATATAGGATTTAAAGACATATTATATTATGAGGCGGGTGGAGTATTTTATAGTTTACTATGCTTTCAAGTTGATGGTAATATGTACTCCGTAAGATATTTGTTACAAGTGTAACAAGTACCTCCTTTGTTCACAATTATAAGATGTTTTGGATCTTTTAATAATATTGGTTACATACCTATAGACTAAAATAAGTAAACAAACACACTAAAATGTGTCTATACATCCAATTCAGAAAGAACTAGAACATCCTAAGATGAGTGAACAAGCATACTAAAATGTGTCTATATACATTCAATTCAGAAAGAGCTAGAACATCCAGTTCAAGAGTCTATTCGATTAACCAGTTAACTTGTCGGTTAATCCCTACCCACAGGGTCACCGAGAGCTGGTAAACTACTAGATCGTTTGAGTAATAGATTATTAGCCTATTAATTCCCTACACGCCAACCAATCAAGCAGCTACCGATTAATGATTTCGTCAACGATGCTTATACCACTAGAAATTTCTCTCAAATATGATTTAAAAACCCCTTCCTATATATTAATCAATTAACAAGTTCTTACAATCATTCAAAGCGGAACACTATCATAAAGCACAACGTCTAACCTATTATCAAAACTAAACCTAGCAATCTCATGCGCCACCACATTAGCGTGTCGATTAATCTTAATAATCTTGAAACTATTGATAGGCTTAGTGATGTTAAATGCTTCCTTTTTCGGATCAACAAGAGGGGACATGTCAAGGGTTTCATTTGCAAGAAAAGACACCACACAGTTTTGAAAAAAATGGGTGTGTGAAGGGCGAACAGCTATATAACCCGACAAGGCACGCTTGAAGCTTCTGTTCATAGGCAGAGGTACACAACCCAATAAAGTCGCGCAATGATACAATCACTACACCAACATGATTTCTAGCCACAATCCCCACACTAGTTGTGCTAATGCTCTCCATAAAACTAGCATCAACATTGATCTTAATATAACCAGAGGAGGGAGGCTGCCAATGCACAGTGTACTTTATCCAAGAATTATTGGACCTCAAGCCATCCGCCACCCTCTAAAATATGATTTTGATATTATAATTTCCGTGATATATAACTAATATTTGTTGTGTTAAATTGATGATCGAATTTAACCTTAAAATATGTTTAGATCTTATAAACCCGAATAGAGTAGATCAAATAAGTGAACTGAAAATATGAGTTTGATAACTATTGGGAAGGGGTATGTATTTGAAAAATGAAGTAATGAAGAAGTTAGATATGAGATGTTACTTGTTTAAAACAAAAGATATGAGATGTTTCATTTAGTCGGAGTCCACAGTTTGGTCACTAACATGTACTAGTTGTGGAATTTGAGAGACACTTATGCTCGAAGTTATGACTGGAATCCTTGAAGCATGAGGCTGGAGATGTGATGGTGTTGGCTGAGCTGGAGAGTTTCATCATTATAATAGACCTTGATCAACAATGTAATGAAATGTTTTAGATACATGTGGAGTCTCCGTGGTTTATTCCTGCTGGTATGGTTTTATGGTTTGTGGCATGTTGAAAGGATTGATACACTCGACTAGAGGGGGAGGGTGAATAGGGAACTAAAAATTTTAAGCTTAGTTGCCAATTTTAGGGTTAAACAGATAAGTAGGGTTCACTAGAAATGCAACTAGGTGAACACAACCTATATGGCCAGCAAACTTAAAGCAAGGTATGCTAGGCAACAATCTAGATAACAAGTCAGCAAGCATACAAAGTAAAAGTAAGGTGCACAGAAGGATTAACCAGAAGTGAGGAGATGACACAAATTTTATTCTGAAGTTCAATCTTTCTTGGGGAAGAGGTAATCTCCGTTGGAGCGGCGCTGGAGCCAAAGCTTGTAGAATGTCACAGAAGACTCTGTTAGAAATATGCCCTAGAGGCAATAATAAATTGATTATTATTATATTTCCTTGTTCATGATAATCGTTTATTATCCATGCTATAATTGTATTGATAGGAAACTCAGATACATGTGTGGATACATAGACAACACCATGTCCCTAGTAAGCCTCTAATTGACTAGCTCATTGATCAATAGATGGTTACGGTTTCCTGACCATGGACATTGGATGTCATTGATAACGGGATCACATCATTAGGAGAATCATGTGATGGACAAGACCCAATCATAAGCCTAGCACAAAGATCGTGTAGTTCGTATGCTAAAGCTTTTCTAATGTCAAGTATCATTTCCTTAGACCATGAGATTGTGCAACTCCCGGATACCGTAGCAATGCTTTGGGTGTGCCAAACGTCACAACGTAACTGGGTGGCTATAAAGGTACACTACGGGTATCTCCGAAAGTGTCTGTTGGGTTGGCACGAATCGAGACTGGGATTTGTCACTCCGTGTGACGGGGACGTATCTCTGGGCCCACTCGGTAGGACATCATCATATGCGCAATGTGACCAAGGAGTTGATCACGGGATGATGTGTTCCGGAACGAGTAAAGAGATTTGCCGGTAACGAGATTGAACAAGGTATCGGATACCGACGATCGAATCTCGGGCAAGTACAATACCGCTAGACAAAGGGAATTGTATACGGGATTGACTGAATCCTTGACGTCGTGGTTCATCCGATGAGATCATCATGGAACATGTGGGAGCCAATATGGGTATCCAGATCCCGCTATTGGTTATTGGCCGGAGAGGTGTCTCGGTCATGTCTGCATGATTCCCGAACCCGTAGGGTCTACACACTTAAGGTTCGATAACGCTAGGGTTATAGGGAAAGTATGTACGCGGTTACCGAATGTTGTTCGGAGTCCCAGATGAGATCCCGGACGTTACGAGGAGTTCCGGAATGGTACGGAGGTAAAGATTGATATATTGGACGAAGGGTTTTGAAGTCACCCAAGGGGGAGATCCCATCTGCCCTGGCCGCCGCCCCCCCTAGGGGAAACCCTAGGGCGCCTCCCCCTCCCCCTTGCCCCTATATATAGTGGAGGTTTTGGGGCTGCCCAAGACACGAGATGAACTCTCCCAAGGCGCAGCCCTACCTCTCTCCCTCCTCGTCTCTCGTAGTGCTTGGCGAAGCCCTGCTAGAGTTCCGTGCTACTCCACCACCACCACGGCGTCGTGCTGCTGCTGGACGGAGTCTTCCCCAACCTCTCCTTCTCCCCTTGCTGGATCAAGGCGTGGGAGACGTCACCAGGCTGCATGTGTGTTGAACGCGGAGGTGCCGTCCGTTCGGCACTAGGATCATCGGTGATTTGGATCACGATGAGTACGACTCCATCAACCCCGTTCACTTGAACGCTTCCGCTTAGCAATCTACAAGGGTATGTAGATGCACTCTCCTTCCCTCGTTGCTAGATTACTCCATAGATTGATCTTGATGTTGCGTAGAAAATTTTGAATTTCTGCTACGTTCCCCAACAGACTCCTCATATTCTCCTCGAGTCATCCCCAATGGATGAGCCTCGAATCACTCGGGGTTGATCTTGAAGGCGACCACCACACCTTTACGTATGTCCCCGGAGCACACCGTAAGCAAGGAAGCTTTCAGAGGAACCTCTAGCCGTCTAGGAGCCCAAGCTCCAAGAGTTGGAATCAATCATAGTCCTTTCGATAAGTAAGAGAGTTGAACCCAACGAGAAGCAGAAGGAATTGATAAGCGGTTTTCAGTAAAATATTCTTTGCAAGTGTTGTAAGAAAGTTTTGCCAGATAGTTTGATAACAAGATAATTGGTAGCAAGTATCAAAAGTAGCACGGCGCAACAAGTGGCCCAATCCTTAATTGTACTAAGGACAAGTCAGCGATATTTCTTATAGTG